ATTCCCAGGCCCAATCTTGCCTCTTGTCCAACCCCCCAGATGGTGCGGAGGATGGGATGGGTGTTGGGCTCAGCCCATCGCATCCCCTGTCAGTCACTCCTTTGTCCTCATGATGCCCTGCTCCAGCAGGACCCGTCCTGGGCTACAGCCCTTCAGAAACATCCTGCTTCTGCAGGGCTCCTGAGGGCTGCAGAAATCACAGCATCAGAATCATTGAGGTTGGAAGGGACTTCTGGAGATAACTATTCCGACTTCCTGCTAAAGCTGGTTTCCTGGAGTAGGTTCCACAGGAAACTATCTAGGTGGATTTAGAATATCTCCAGGGAAGGAGACTCCGTAACCTCTCTGGGCAGCGTGTTCTGTTCACACTCAAATGTCACGCTCAAGCAATCTTTTCCTCATGTTCAGATGGAATTTCGAGTTTGTGGCCCTTGTCCTGTTGCTGGATACCACTGAAAAGAGCCTGGCTTCGTTCAATTGTCTCTCATCCATCAGATATTTATAAGCATTGATAAGATCCCTTCTCAGTCTTTTCCAAGCTGAGTATCTCTTCCCTCAGCCTGCTGGCTGCACTATTTTAATGAAGGATACTGTTGGCCTTCTTGGCCACAAGAGCACACTGCTGTCTCATGGCCAACCTGGTGTCCTTCAGGATCCCCAGGTCCTTCTCCTCACAGCTCCTCTCCAGCAAGTCAGTTCCTAACGTGCACTGGTGTATGTGTATTTTCCTCCTCAGGTGTAGAGATTCTAAACTTGTCCTTGCTGAATCTCATCAGGTTCCTCCCTGCCCGGCTCTCTGCTCTGTCCAAGCGTCCTAGAATGGCAGCACAGTGTTCTGGTGTGATGTGCCAGCCGCTCCTCTCAGCCTTGTATCATCGGCTAAATTGTTGGGGGGGACTGTATTTGTCTAGGTGACTGATGAAGATGTTGAACAATTCTGGATGCAGTACAGACCCCTGGGGAACATCACTTAACTACAGGCCTTCAAATCAGCTGTGCGCTGCTGATCACTGATCTCTGAGCTCTGCGAGAGCTCGATCCACCTCACGTGTCTCCCTGCTGTGGTGTGGGCTCTCCCATGTTGCAGGGTAGAGATATGCGGCAGGGTGAAGATTATGCTCCAGGTGGACTCTGTGGGGCTACAAGGGAATCCTTCCTGTGGGCCTGGCGCCCCTTCTGCCTCCACCTCCTCAGTTCTGGAGTCCCTCTGCTGCTCCTCTCTCGGCCTGTGCCCGCTGTTTGCTTGCAATAGAGTTTGCAGTTACCATAATTATGGTGTATTTATTCAGAAGCTTATCTACTTTGGTCATCTGCACAAAGCCAGTGATTGTTGCACAGCAGTGCACTGCAGCAGGGCTGTGGATTTGAACTGAAGAGAAGCTGCCCTGTGGCAGCTCCTTCTGTGACACTTCGGTCACTGGCTTGTAAATCTTTATGATGAACTGCCTTAGTAAACTCTACCTTGATCAGTTATGTGACTCTGCAGGATTCATCTGTGCAGAGTAGTGCAAAAGTGGCTAATGAAGTTAAACTGACAATTTACTTAAAATTTGAGAGGAGATAGGAAATGCTGGGAAGAGATTTCACTCTGTTATGACAGCAATGACTGTGATGTTGGAAAAGCAAGCTGCTTTTTTTACAGTTGCCATGGAAAAAGTGTTGGTCATGTGCTGTTACCATGGAGATGTTCAATATGAATTCCACAAATCAGAAAGATTTCTGGACCAAGTAGCAAGACAATTGTTCTTTTTATAGTAAAGGCTTCTCAAGCTGATTGGCATTATGGAGGATTGGAGGACGTAGCATCTTCAAATCTCTAAACTGAATGAAAGAAAATGAAGTGTATTTGCAGATTGACAACTCAAAAAATATAGATGTGAAGTAAATGAAAACTTCTGGTAAACTTATTTAAATTTATCTATTACCTTCTTTCACCTGCAGTCACCAAGTTCAGCAGCATAGCAGTGCTTTTGATAGAACATGTTTCCCTGTTCTCTGGTGACTGTTGAATGCATTGCAAAGGATCAGGTTGTAAAATACCAAACAAATTTTGCAGCCTGGTCACATGCCTGAAAAAGCAAAATAAATTCAAAAACATGACTGGAATGTTGTTTATGTTTGTCCTCTGGCAGCACAGTCACCTGGCATAGTCAGGTTGGCGTAGAGTTGTGAAGGGGTGAGTCATTTGGAGTATGACACAGGGCCTGGCACTGGGCCCTGTTGTATATCATGTCATAGTGCCATGATTCAAAATTAAAGTTTGAATACTCTTGTGATAACCTGAGACTTTTCCTCTTAAGACTTGCCTGAAGCAGTGTTCTCTATGTTATCCTACCTACTTTTGCTCTGAGTTTAGAGATGAAAAAATTTTTCCCTTTCCATTGAAACAATGTAAGCAAAAGTTTGTCTCAGTTGTTTTGAAGAAAAATGAGAATAAAATGGGGTTTTGAAAGACTAATTAACAGGAATATTGCTTGTTTGTCCAATCTGTTGTTTTAGGTATTGTGTTTCCTTACTTCAAATAAGGGAAACCTTGGGCCTGGTGTGAAAATTGAGGATGTTTCATGTTTGGTTCTTTTCCTTTTGTTTTGTGCAGTTATATACAAAAATAACTTTTGGTCTAATTACAGAACAAATGAAATTAATCAGTTTTAAAATACCATTTTTCTTCAGGATAAATCTTTAAATTTTCTTTAAAAATAATGAATTTCTAAGCTCTCAAGTGTGCTTACCATCAGCGCTGTTGGAAAGCTTGCTTGGATGTCCTAGCGTACGACTGTCTCAAACTTTGGTCTAGTACGTGAATTTGTTCTGATCTCAGTTGACTTTTAAGAGATGCCAAGAGTTGGTCTGGAAGTGTTTGGTGTTTAACTGTCTCTTATGCACATTAAAAGTAAAATAACAGTTATCCCGTGCAAAGTTCTTGCTCTTATATCCCTTCCTTTTCCCTGATATTCATGGGGTAGAAATGGCATGATTTAATGTAGCTATCAGAGCAGAGGCTTTCTTCACTGTTGCTGAATGTTTTTAAGGAATACTATTTAGCTGATTTTTGTTTTCAGTTCTCCAGGGTAGTCACAGGGTTGTCTTTTCCATTTGTAGCTTTGCTAATCTCACTTGCGTCGGGCTTTTTTGTCAGTTAGATACTGATGATTGATCTTCTGGAGCGAGCTCATGTGGAACAAATATTTCTTCTAATACGAGCGTTTATAAGGATTAATAGAAAAATTCAATCTGTGAGAAGAATGAGGCTTCTGGGGCATAAATTTCAGAGTAGTACAGCGTGTTTTCCTTGTGCTCTTTTGGTTTGCCCACATCGATGTATAATGAATACAGCTTTTGCTGGAATCCATAAAGGTTGTTGACCTTTTAAAGACATCTTGAATGCTGTGGTTTGATTGAGCAGATGATGTTTCTGGCAGCTGCTGGTGGAAATATCTGAGAAAAAAGTCATTGTTTTCACTTAAGGTTTTTACTTTGATCCAATTTCATTATCTGTGGAATACTTGTAAGTTCTTTGACAGTTAAGTAACTCTACCAAATCAATGTCTTCAAATCCTATGTTAGTCAGAATGTTCTATATTTAAGGCTGAATTAAGGTGTATTTTTAAACAATTCAGTTAATGAATTTGGAAGGAGAGAAATATGGAAATTGACCATTGTTTTCTTATTGAAATGCCTGTGAAATAGGATTTTAATGAAGCAAAAACAAACAAACAAAAAAATGTTTGATCTTGCTCTTCTGATTTGAGCCTTGGAGAAAGGTATGTGCAACAAGTCCAGATTTGAAGTTATCCATGGATTTGGTATATGATTGAGCAAGTATGCTTTGATAAGGGCAGTTTCCAAAGGAGAAGTCTGTTTGGTTTTTGTGTTTGTTTTTATAATAAAGGTGATGAAGCATTGGCACAGGTTGCCCAGAGAGGGATGGCAGCTCCATCCCTGGAAACATTTGGGATCAGGCTGGATAGGGATCTCATCATCCTGATGTACCTGTAGGTGTCTCTGTTCATTGCAGGGGAGTTGAACTAGTTAACCTTGAAAGGTCCCTTCTAGCTCTAAGGATTCAGTGATTCCATAGTAATTTGGTGTTTCCCCTATGTGTAGTTATGTGTTCTTTGAGGTGTGAGATTTTGTCTGTATTTAGTTGGTATTTCTGGATTGCACTTGTTTTGCGCTGTGTAGAAGCAACGTCCTACTCTTTGGACTTTGGATGTAAGTTTATATAATAACAAATTATAAGTAGTAACTGTAAGTATAGTTATTAATTTATATTAAAATTCTTTTTTTTTTTTAGATTTTCTCATTGTTCTTTTTTTTATTAAATGGTAGTTGTCTTTTATTTTAATGGATTTGTGTTTAGCATATGGCTTCAGTACACAGGCAAAACCAGATATGATAGTGTCTTTTCTTTAACCTTCAAGTTATGCAGGCTTATGAGCAACATAAAATGCTATTTCTGTTAAGCTTTATGTTGACTGTTAGAATGTAAAGCCTAGTTTCCATTCTTTGTTCTATGTAAGAAATATAAAATATATACATATTATATATTTTATATATTTCTTGTCAGTATTTAGTACAAAACATAGTTTAATTATTAATGTAAAACATATACTTGTAATATAGGGTTTGTTAAGTGGTATTAAACGTTTACTAGAACCATTATGATAGTGCAGCACAAAAATTATATATTTGTACTTTTTAATACTGCAAATACTAAAACTAAATATATATTGTGAACTCTGACACTGCTGTTATCTTTTTTCAAATTTGATTTCCTTATTTTCCTGTGAGTTTCACAGAGGCTTAGTTGTTTTCCTGTTTACTTTTTGGCTTCTGTAGAAGGATACAGTGAAATAATCTTTAAAACATTTTTTGCCATGTTGTATAAAATATTGTGTTTTTTTTTTAGTTTCTCTCTTTTTAATAAGGGAAATATAGATTTATTGGGATACAATGCAATGTAAAGCAGAAAAAAAAAAAGTTTCTTCTTTTTCTAGATGGAATCAGTGTTAGTGGACTTCCGCTCTCCAGTCCTTTTCGGCAAGTTGTCAAACCAAGAGTGGAGGCTAAACCCATTAACCCTCAAGAAAGCAGCAAAGGTGGGGACTTCAGTCATGTGAAGGTAAGTGACATAAAAATAAGTGAAATTTGCTTTTATTGTTCCGTATTACACTGCATTCTGTGATGGAAAAACAAAAGTTGGTTTCACAAATATTTCTTTGTGCTCCTTATTTGGACCTGTAGAACAAACAAAAGTGAAGCAAGATCAAGGGAAGAGCTGAACTTGTAAAGAACTGATTACCAGTGGAGTATGTTCACGGAACTGCCAGTTCCTCACCATATTGCTTTCTTATACTGTATTCTCTATAGCAAAGCGATCCTTTGTGAATCCACTGCTTTGTTTTTTTTTTTTTTCTATTGAAATGTACTGAAGGATTTGTACCTTCTAAACATTTTAGGTTCAAAGTCTTACTTTCACACTTGCAGTACTGAGCCTTTTAGATGGATTCGTGCAAGTAGTAAAAGAGAATAATTGAGAGGGCCAAATAAAAAGTAAATGCAGCAGGATGAAAGAACAGCTACGTGGGTGGAACCTGCACTATGTTTACTTTGAGAGGGGTTCCCCTGGAGTAAATACTGTTTGTTCTTCTGTTGAAGATCTTAGCCTTCTGAAGATGGAAACTTCTTATTTTGAGCAGGGAAATAAGAAGAGTTTCATAGTGGACAGGTTTTTTTTGGTTTTTTGTTTTTTTTGAGAGAGAACATCTAAGATTAAAATTACAGAGATTTTAAGGAATATACTATTGGACTTGATTGGTCTCTTTTGTGCATGCTTTGTGTGCTACGTAACATTACATGCTCCTCCTTCCCAAGTCTGTGTTCTGCATTAGCTCATTCTGTCAGAATTTAGCTCTGTGCTTAGCAATATTTGGCCTATCATGACTTTGACCTGGAAGCAAACGTAGGCTTTGCAGTTTTTAATTGCTCACCTGAAATCTGAATTTTCTTTCTTCCCGGTGAGGTTCCTTAGAGTTGCATTTGATTGATAAACAGATGATTCTGTTAATTTGTAAATGTTGCTTCCTTTGGGCCTTTAGTACTACTAACTTAGTATTTCGTTTTTTACTACAAAAAGGATGTTGACAGTATATGACATGATTAAAAAAAGCCCTGCTAGTAAAGACTTTCCTTGTATTTTATCACATAGAGGGTACTTCCCAGTTGCTCATAAAAATAAATCAGAGTGACTGAGAAAACAGTTTGGAGTTCAAGCTTGATAAAATGTTCACCTTTAGTTTTCAAATTCGGAAGTTCGTGTAAGTATTTCTATTTTGCAGAACACTTGAGATGGAGGCAAGCAAGGGGAGTATTATTGTGTAAAGGGAATAAAAATCCAGAAATTCACAATTTCAACATACCACGTGAATTGAAAAAGCTTTCTGTTGCACTTCATGACTGTTCCACAGCAGTCCTGGCAATCCACGTGATGTTGTTGCAAGGGTGCTGGAGACCTGTAAAGCAAGAACTTTAAGCATTACATGGCAAAAGAGTCTGTTGGGAATGCATGTGCTTGATTCAATTGTTAGGTTTACGAAATACATTTTGAATTACTTATTTTGCATTTTATAATTAAAGGGCCTTGCAGGTAGCCAAAACTGCGTTCAACAGAGAACACGCATTCTGATAACCTTAAAGGTTCCTTGCTGGTTAGTGTTACTTATGTATTGAGCCTGGTTTATGACTGTTGTACAGCTCATGTTTTATGCCTGAATTGAACAATTTATAGTGTCACTATCCCTTCTAGAACTGCTTTAACCGCTAAGACTGCATTTTTTGTGGATTATGCTTAGAAGAGAATCAACAGGCAAAATAAAACTCAGGGTGTTTAAGAAGGCCACAGAGCAAAACTCTGAAGGAAGTCTATGCCATTACATATCTAATTACTTGAATTATAGCATTCTGGTAACTTACTTGCAAGCAGGTCTTCATGAGAGGAAAGATGTGATTTATATTTTTCCAAAATTTAAAAAACAGGATTAATGTGGATGGGGAGAGAGAATGCCACAATAGAGTAGCACCATCTATATGTCTGTAGAGTGATTTACTGTTACGGTTAGTTCCGTTTTAACAGATCTCTATTTCTGTAACTTGCATTTATGTTTATCATGTTGTTAGAAATAAAAATGTTATCTTGGGTTGTCCCTATCAGGTCACCAGAAATCAGTCATTTGATGTACCTGGATTAAAAATGTCTGTGTAGTTCAGAATCTCTCAGAAATATTTTTAGTTTCAACAAACTACCCACATAATTACATCTCTGTGTTTGTTGGCCAAGTGGCCAGAAGAAATTCTAACTGAGTAGGTTTGTCTATTTGCATGATTGCATTACCTTTGACTACTAGTCATTGTGTGATGAGATGTTGTATCCAGCTGCCAACTATTTCTGTTTATTACTATTTACTTCTCTTCACATCTTTTATTTGGCAGAGTTGTTCAGGTGAAAAGCCAAAATAAAACAAAAACCAGTGGCTTAAAATTACAGTCAGATGAATTCTGAATTAAAGTACCACTTAGTTATTGTAGACAATGAATCTGCCATTTAGAAATGCAGTGAGGATGTGTCCAGGCTGGGTTCTGAGGCCTTTGCTGTGTTTTTGTTTTCATCTTGGTTGACTTCAGGCTGGATACCTTTCAGAATACGTTAATATGTTTGTTGCCAAATGTAAAGGCTTTTGCTCAGTGGTTGTCTAAAATATAGCAAGCTGGGATACATAAAAGAGAGATGGTCCAAGATTCCCTTTGAACCTGAATCTCAAAATATTGCATATTTATGAATCTGTCTGAATACTCTGAACCTTCTTCAGAAGGTACTTCAGCTTCTCTTTGTTGCTGCAGAACAATTCAGTGTGTGACCTGTTGCTTTTGTCCTGCACAGTGCCATTTGGGACAAGGACTGGATTTTAAGGTTTGTCTTACAATAGCCAGTTAATGTGGTTTGACAAGGTAATAAGCAAGTGGGGAACGTCTGAGTTACAAAACAAGAGAAATTGGATATGCTGTGAATATGATCTGATATCATTAATTCATGATTTAGCAATAGATGATTGTTGTGAATATTCAGGAATAGTAGTCGTTTTTCAGCCACGTGTGCTGTGTGTTAGCCAGTCTTCAGGTAAATTTTTGCAAAGGAATAAGGATATAAAATCAGTATTTCTCATGTTGCTGTTTCTGAAATGTCCTTGTTGTAAGTCCTGATGCTTAAATCTTCCTCCTTTTTGCTTCAATACAGAATATTGCCAGTATGCACTTGAACTTCTTAGCAATCTTCGTTTTCAATTTTGCTGCAGGCTGTCTTCTAATACACCAGTCACAAGCTGCTGGAAATGAGCGTTATAACGATCTCATAAATTTAGTATAAAAATTCCTTTATGGTCTCATCATAAAGCTTGCTTACACCCTCAAGCTGCGAAGAATATCACAGTATAATATTATGTTCAGATGTACTCTCTTTTTACTGTTAACTGCTGAGTAATTTGGTAAGCACTGTCCTAAAATCCTTGGTCATTCCAGTGTGTGTCTGTACTGCAGGATGAGTGCTTAGCTCTGCATGGCTGTGGTTACACTGCTAGGTGAAATAGTCTGTTTTAAAGAATTGCTGTGTTCCTTTACTATCAGTGAATTGTATGAAATGTTAAAGTATTATATGTAGAACTAATCTAATTGAATACACTGTCTGTAGTGTCTCTTACCAGGTTTAGTCAGTATGTATTAAAATAAGGTACGGGACTTGATTGGATTTTTCCATGCAGTTCTCAGGTGATGCTCTTGAAACTATGAAAGTATCAAAGTGTGCTGTTAATTGAGATGCAGTTTACGTTGCTGATGCTTTAAGCTCAAAATCATTTCATATATGTACCTTGAATCTATTTTAAGTTTAACCCATGTACATGTAAGTCTTAGATTTTTTTGTAGCAGTTCTAGACTGTGAAGTTAGTGGTGATGTTGAATCTGCAGAGCGCTCTTGATATTTAGATTCCTTCTTTTTAGTTACCTAAGGGTTGTGAAGCACTGGAATGAGCTCCCCATGGAGGTGGTTGAGTCACCAACCCTCGATGTGTTTAAAAACCGTTTGGATGTGGTGCTCAGGGACATGATTTAGCGGAGGGTTGTTAGAGTTAGGGTAGTGTGGTTAGGTTGTAGTTGGACTCAGTGAGATCTTTAAGGTCTTTTCCAACCTGAGCAATTCTTTGATTCCAAATGTGAATTTACCAATGGGATCTTAGAAACAAAAGTATAATACCAGTTAGGCGTTCTACTTCAGTGTTGTCCCACTTTGGAATTCAGTACTGTGTGTGTAAATCTTGTGGTTTTGAGTCCTTTATTGATATTACAACATCAGGTCTTAGAAACTCACAACTGCAATATTTTTCTTTACAATAAATTTAAAACTAATGAAAGAGACAGTAACAATGTGAAACAAGGCTCTTTCACTTCCCAAGTTGATTTCTATTAGCTTTTTTTTTTTATTATTGGTTAATTGAAATTTGTGAGCTAGGTGTGAGAAAACAAGTCACATTTCTTGAAATCTACTCAGTAAAGACACATGAGCCAAATCAACATTTCCCAGCTCAGCAATGTGGTTTTTGTTGCCTTTTTGGCTGAGGGTAGATTTGTTCTGCAAAAATGACAGGAATTTGATCTCTTGATCATTGGAACGTGGCTTGCAAAAGCTTATTATGATCTGAAATTGGATGAAAACCTGCAGTTTTTGAATAGACTGCTTCTGATGGCTTTTAACTTTCTTTCCCTCCCCAGTTTGGCAACATTCCTTTAAGTGCTTTTAGGATTCTATAAACAGTTGAGTATTCAGCACTATTTCTGCTTACCAGCTATATTCTTCTGTGCATTGTTGCATCTAAAGATGCACACTCTGAAGCCCTAGAGAGGACTATACTTCAGAACATGAACTGTTCTACAAACAATATTCTCTGGAGCCATGGGGAAAAAAAAAAAAAAGCTACTTCCCCTAGATTTGAGTAAACTCAATTCGTTCATATCACCTGGTATTTTACGTTCAGTTCTACTGCAGTAGCAGAAATTTCATTTCGGAATGTTTTATGA